TTCAAGGTGATTCTCAGGACGATTCTCCTCTGATTTGAACTGATCAGCCGGGATGATCGTAAGGTCGTCCTGGACGATCAAGCCATTTTTTCAATCATCCAGTTTACATACAAGGCGATGTTCTGGCCGATCTTTTGAGATTTATACTGATCAGCCAGGACGATGTCCATATCATCCTGGACGATATAGTCGGCAACTTGCAATTAATGTGCTCCTTTGAAGCTCTTCTATTTAAGAGCTTTAGTTCAAAATTTTTGAACATACTTGGCAGCTATCTTGACCTGAGAAAACCTAAAGGAGAGATAGAGAGAGGATCTTGTGAGGGATGTGAGGGGATTCACAAGGGTTGATCCAAGCATTGTTCCACTTCTTCTTCCCTAGAGTCTCTTGTCCTTAAAAGGATTGGGAGAGGTAAGTTTCAGCAAGTGATCGTGGTTCTCTGCTTTCTTCAGGATGAAGCAAAAGGAGTTGGGTTCTCTGCCTTGCTGTGTGTGGCAAAAAGGAGGTGTTTTTGTGAGGGCTTCTCCGTCTAGCTGTGGGGGCTAAAGGAGAGTCACGTTGGTAGTGCAATACTTAGAGGGGGCCTCCGGGGAGTGGACGTAGGTCGAGTTGACCGAACCATTATAAACCCTTGTGTTCTTGTTTTTATTGCTTCCGCATTTATTTTCTTCCGCACTTGTTTTTGTGGTGATTTTGTTTATGATCATCGTTCTTTTTGCTTAAAGAAAATTTTAAAATATCAATTCACTCCCCCTCTTGGTTATCCTCGGTCCAGTTCTATAGGGCTTAACATCCCTAACAAACTTTCACTTTGGAATCCCTACAAATTCCTCCAAAGCCTCCTTTGTATGATTGAAGAAGTGAAGCATCAAAATTAAACTTGATCCAACCAGGTGGAGGGGGATGCCAATGATCGTTTGATAGCTTACCAAGCTGGTTGACACCCCATTTACCCGAGATATTTGCTATATTGGAAATGGAAATTGCTGCCATTGAAATAGCTTCCATAGCTACAAACATAGCACTAGATTTCGTCCCATTGTGAACCAGATTATTTCTAGCCTTCCAATTATGGTAAACAGCATTGCAATACAAATTGATTAGCCAACTATTTTGTATAGATAACCAAGAAATACATTCTGAGAAAGAGCTGTGTTTAGAAATACCGAAAGCCCATCTGTTTAAATGATTATAAACTTCTTCCAGTTTACTGCATTTGACAGAGATGTGTTTAATGCCTTCCAGAAAATTACAACCTCTTGGACATTCAGCAGATGATTGTAATCTTCTATAACATAAAAACTGAAACGTTGGAACTGCTTTGTTAAAAATCCGCGACCAGAATATTTCAGTTCTAGGAGACAGTCTTGCTAATTTGATCCACTTCCAATATACCTCTTGCTGAGAAATTTGGATCGAACTTTCAAAAGCCAAAGCCGAAAATGATTTTCCAGATCTGCTGTACAGCAATTCCAGTTCTTCATTTGAATTCCCACCAATGATTTTTATTTGCTGAATTAGATTAACAAGTTCTGGACCAAAGGATTCAACCAGCGTATCAACATTCCATCTACCGTAGATGATGAATTTATCAAGAGAAACATCTTCAAGGACTTGGGCATTAAGAAAAGTAGGCCACTTATTAAAATTTTTATCCAAAATCCAAATGTCTTTGAAAGTATTAACAGAAATCCCATTGCCCACACTCCATCTAACTATCGGCCTCAAGAATTCTCCACCATTTTTTATAATGGCCCAAACTGTAGAGCCTCTTTTTAAAGAGTTTTGATTTTCAAAGCAAGATCCATATTTAGGGAATAAAACTTTATGTAATAAAGAGTTATCTTCTTGAATGTATCTCCAAGCAATTTGAGCTCTCAAAGGCCCGATTTTGTCATGACAAGAATGGAGACCTCTCCCTCCCCACCTAGTTGGGCAACAAAGAGTCTTCCAATTGACAAAGTGCATTCCATGCTTATTCAAGGATTTAATCCAAATAAAGCTTCTGCATAACTTGTCCATCTCCTCAAGAGTGCTTTTAGGAATCAATGAATGAGTACTATGAAAGATGGAGTAAGATAACAAAACCGTTTTGACAAGGTTTACTTTACCAGCCAATGATATATTCTTACTCCCCCAAACATTAATCATTTTCAATGCTTTCTCAATGATTCAATGGAAGTATTTAGCAACTAATCTCCTCAAACAAATTTTTGTTCCAAGATACTAGAATTCTTTAACACTACGAATCCGAGTAATCTTCTTAATTTTCTTCTTCAATCTTCTATTGACAGCTTTGCCAAAGAGAACACAAGATTTGTTTGTGTTCACTTTTTGACCGGTCCATTCACAATATTCATTGATAATACTTTTAACTTCCTTGACCTCCTTCACATTTGCTTTTAAAAATAAAAGGATATCATCAGCATATAACAAATGTGATATCCTAGGCCCATTATGAGAAATTCTAATTCCAAGTTTTTCACCACTTTGTTTAAGAGCATTAGAAAGTAATTGAGCACATAAAATAAACATATAAGGTGACAATAGGCATCCTTGCCGAAATCCACAATTAGCCTCAATCCAATGGAATAATTCCCATTAGTTATAATAGCAAATTTTGCATTAGAGACACAATCCATAATTAAGGAAGATATCATAGGCAGAAAACCAAAGTACCTCAATGCTTTTCCAATGTTGGCCATCCCATTGAGTTATAAGCTTATTCCAAGTCCAATTTGAAGGAAACCAATCCATTAGAGTTTTTAGAGAATCTGAATTTGTGAAAGATCTCATGTGCAATCATGATATGATCAGTCATAGTTCTACCTTTAATAAAAGCTGCTTGTTCGGGAGAGATTACCTTGTGAATAACTGAAAACACTCTGTTTAAAATAACCTTGGCAGCCACCTTTTACACAACATTGCATAAACTGATCGGCCTATAATTGGAGGGGCATATAGGATTGGAGACTTTCGGAATTAAACAATAAGAGTTTCTTTCCAACTAGAATTCATTTTCCCAGTAATAAAAAACTTGTTCAAAGCTTTCCAAACATCTTCTTTGATAATATCCCAATAGTTTCTCAAGAAAGAGTAAGTAACACCATCAAATCCTGGAGCAATAAAACTCCCTGAGTTCTTAACAATGATTTCAACTTCTTCAAATGAGAATTCCATATTTAAAATGGCAAGGTCTTCTTCATCCAATTGAAAGCTATTTTTCGGCCATCCTTCTAGTTTGCAAACTCTGAATTTCCATTTATTTTTAAAAAATTTGAAAAGAATTTCTTCAATCAAGAGCTGATCTTCCGTCTCCTCCCCATTTTCATCTTTGATTTTGTTTATAAAATTAGCATTCTTCCTTGCACTAGCAAAAGCATGAAAAAACATAAAATTGGTGTCCCCTTCCAATGCCCATTTCACCTTAGCACGTTGCCTCCACCAAGTATCTAGATGAGCCAAAATGGAATTGAGATCTCCAACTTTTGATTTAAGTAACAAGCATTCCTCCTATGATAGACCAAGTTTGCAATCTTCTCTTACAACTCTAAAATTTCTTTGTTGAGAGGCTCTTTCCCTTCCATTAAGGATTTATGTTTGTCTTTACTCCAGTAGACCAAAGACTTCAAGGCTCTTTTCAATTTCTTGTTGAGAATTTGGCCGAAATCCCCTTCAGTTTTTTTGCTCCAGATTTTTTTAACTACAACCATTGTAGCCGGGTTATTAACCCACACATTTTCACACTTAAAAGTTTTGGAAGTGTTATATTTGAAATTCTGAAATTTCAAAATGATTGGACAATGGTCCGAGGCTATCCTAGCAAGGTGTTTAACAACCATATGTTGATGAGAACTTAACGCCACCGAGTTCAGATAATACCTGTCCAGCTTCTCAAGAATTCTGTTAACTCTAGAATTATTATTGCTCCAAGTAAATTTAGGTCCAATGCTCCTTACTTCATGAAAGTCATTAGAGGTGAGAAGGGACTCCATCTCTTTGGCACCCATAGAATATACAAATCTCCTTCCTCCTTTTTTGTCTTCTTTATTAAGAATACAATTGAAGTCACCTCCAATGACCATGGCAATGTCATTAGAGGTATAAAGCTACAATTTTTCCCATAGAATCCTCCTTTTGTAAGCATTAAAGCTACCACAGATAGTAGCAATCCTCCATCTAACTTTGTTTTTGATATATATCTCCCCAATTACAAATTGGTTTGAAGATTCAAAAATCGTGAATGAAGCCAAAGCAATTTTCCAAGTTATTAATAAACCACCAGACTTCCCTATATAGGGAACTTGGAAAAAATCCCATCCATATCCAATTAACATATCAATATCACTTCTATTGAACAAAGTGCCTTTAGTTTCTAGAAAACCCATAAATAAAATACCATTTTTTTTTTTACAATCTCCTTCAAATACAAGGAAGCTCTCCTCTTCCTGGCTCCCCTGCAATTCCAGAAACCAAAGGAAGACATTATTTCAAAAGAGGGGAAGAATTCCCCACTTTTTCTATTTGAGGACCTCCCAATCTTCTACTCCTTAAATTCAAATTGATAGGTCCTAAGCTTTTAAGTTGCTTGAATCCTTTCTTCTTAGAACTAGAAGCATTGACTGATTCAATATTGTTGTCACAATTCCCTTCCTCCATGCTCAGGGAATTGTAGATATCACAGCCAATAGAAACATTAACATTCTCAACAACCGGTTCCACAATCTCACCATCTTCAATAATATTGTTTAAGATAGAAAATTTATTGATATCATTGGGAATATATGGAGTAGAAACTGACGTACCCAAGTGATTGTTTACCTCCTCCAGATGAGAGATTGAAATACCTTCCATCTCAATTTTTTCTTTCTCCTATCCTTTTCAACCAAAGAACTATTCTGAATATTGATCTGCTTGTCATTGTCCCCAGCAGGTTCTTTCTCCACAATTCTATAACTCAATTTGGAATTTACTCTTCTGTCAACAGCTCTTGATTGATCTCAACCACTGTTCTGGGAATTAGCCTTGTGAACTGGACCTTGCTTTCTGAATTTATTTCTCTTGAAATTGACATGAATCCATGGGCCATATTCTTCCTTATTGTTCTTCTGAAAACTATCTTCATTTTGAGAAATATCCATGTTGATAAGCGCATTAGCCTTTTGAACTGAAGAATGTCTTACTTCAGCTTTTTCTGGACATTGATCCACAAGATGTCCAATTCTTCCACAGCAAAAGCAAAAATTGGGAATTTTTTCATACTCAATTCTTTGATAGAATTTACCTGAAGATCCTTCAGCCCAAATTCCTAAAGGAAGCTTTGTATCCAGGTTTATCCGAACACAAACCCTGGCGAATTCTCTTCTATTCCATTGGAATGAGTTACCATCAATCATACACGATTTTCCAACCATGGAGGCAATTCTGCATATGTTGATTTCGTCCCAACAGTGGAGAGGAAGGTTTGGCAACCTGATCCAAACTGGAGATGTAAGCAGTTTCAAAGAAGAAGGTGAGAATGTGGAAGACCATTTGTCCATGCCTATGATATTATTTTTAACATACCATGGACCGCTTGATAAAACAAAATCCAAGGCATTCTTTTCATCAAATACACATAGAACCCATCCTAAGCCGAGAATGGTTAAGTTAAACTTTCCAAACTGAGCCCATTGCCTTTTCAACTCTGAGCAGATTAAATGAAATGGAACATTGGTGTCAAAAACCTTAATAGCAATTGAATTTTGGAGATTCACTGAATTTTTCTGTTCCTTCGGAATATGAATTTTTACTACATTATCACAATCGGTGATGTCATTCTTGAAATTTAGTTCTGACACATTAATGTTATTCTTCTTTGTCCAAACATTAGGAGTCCAATTCATAGAATTTTTTGAAATAACCTCTTTCTGAAAAGAAATTTCAGGATATTCATTCAATTCTGCATTTCCACAAGAACGGACATTTTCCAGATCAATTCTTTCCCTTGATTCTAGGATTGAATCTGCTTTGGAAATCACTTTTTCATGATAACTAATATTTTGAACATTAAGATTATCTTCTAACTCCTTCCTAGTAGGATTGAGGCAATTCATCGAGTTGGGAGAGGACGTCTCACCAGAATATCCATTAGCAATCACAGTTTACCCGATTGGAGAATTAACAATTTTAGAAATCACAGGATTCTCAAAAGCTATAGCTTTCCCTTTTCCAAACACCTACACTGGTTTTTTCAGATTTAAGAGACCACCTTCGTTGATTACCAAAGCTTTTCCATATCGGGCTTTACTGTCCACCTTGTTAGAAAATCTGTCGCCGTAAGCAGGTGGAGAAGAAGAAGTCATGATTGATCTCGAAGGAATGGATGGAGTTGGAATCACATGTCGACTCGCCGTTTGTTCACTAGCCGTTGTCACCGGCCAGCGAACGTCTGCCGCCATGAAAATAGCGGAATCCAAAATTCAAAATTCTGAACATTTTTCTCTCACTAGAACAGAGCTTCTCTCACTAGAACTGATCTCTTACCTTACTAGATTCACATAGGGGTGAGAAGAATAAAACTAGCACATTCATTTTTATTCTCAATAGAAAAAAATTCAAGCAGGTTTTTATTAGTAGCTCAAGGCAATTGGATAATTCATAACAAGGTGTTATGTTCATAATTAATATCCATCATTTGCTCATCAATATTCTTAATAATGTTGGAGACTTAGCAAAATAATCCTAAAATAGAAGTAGGAGGGTCATTGTTAAGTCCCTTAACATTGATGGAAATAGTCAAAATAGTAGCCAACCAAATCTAACCAAACAACCTAATGAAATCAACCCAACTAACAATACTATGAAGATTTTTAAGAAAAAAACAAGTTCAAGAGACCATAAATGTGAATAGTATCTGAAGGGACATACTGAAGAGTACCAAAATATAGAGCAATTAAACTAACTAACTAGTAAAAAATGGGTAATAGTAGCCTTCAATTAAACACCCAAAACACATACAGAAAAGGAAAGACCCAAAAATTATCATAGCAAAAAATGAGAACAAAAGAAGGCAGAAGACCTGCATAATAGCACCATGTCCAGTTCAAAAGAAATAGCATAAAGCATGGAGCTCAGTAAAGGAAAAACACATAAACACAAGTGAGAGGATCCAGCTATAAAAACTATAACAATCACCAAATAAAACCTCAGGCAAAACCTAAAATAGCACACACACTTAACACAGCTAAAACTATCAAAACCATCAAATAAGTGATCAGTGAAAATAAAGCTCGGGAGAAAAGTAGAAATTCAAATAAGAAACTTGCACAGAAGTTTAACAAAAGAATAAAGTAAGAAAAAAAAAGAGCCAGAAATCATGATGGATCCCCAAGCAAAAAATTGTCTCGGGTGTGTAGTATCAGATAAGTCATGACGGGTAACATTCATTTTCTATTCAAATCCAATTCAATACCCAACTAAAATAATATACAAACACTTGAAAGAGGTAAAGTTCCAATTACTCAGATAGAACAACACCAAAAGCTAGTGGACAACATGCCCAAAAATGACCAACTTACCACCAAAAAATAGAGAAACACAAAAAATAGATTATATCACATCTTAAAAGAATGACACAATCCATCACCACAACCTATATTCCCATTCCAAATAAGAAAAGGAAGTGATGACAAGTAAAGATGAGCAAGGACACATTCCAGGGGATGCACAATCATAGCCAGAAGAGAACCCAAACAACATAAGCACCAAACCAAAATAAGAGACCTACCAAAATGAACAAAACCCAATCTAAAATGAGTTAGCAAAGGTGAAATACCCTAAGACTAGAAACTGGAAAAAGATTCTTAGCTGGACTGAATATAAGGCAAACTAGGGTGGTTTAATCTCACTAACACCTTGAAGTTATCAGGTAAAGAGGTACTAACATATTTAATAAATTCCCTTAAATTGAAACAAATTTTAGCAATATTATTAGCAGCTGCATTTCCTTTCTGGTAAACATGAGTAAGAGAGAAAGAAATAAGAGAAAGCCACTGCTTGATGTCTTTAATCAAAAATAAAATGAAGGATTGGACTACATAGTACAATTAATATAATGAATAAGTTGTTTAACTTCAACTTCAACCCAAACGTGAGTGATACCTAAAGAGAAATATAATAGCCCATATTGCAGTTCTTGAATCTCATCCCTTATCACAATGGAGGAATTAGGACCCAGAAAAGCAATGATAACATGTCCATTTGAATCCCTAATCAGACCACCACAAAAAGCCTTAGAATAATTCAGAGAACAATCAATGTTTAGTTTAAACCGCTCAGTCAATGGTTAAAGCCATCTCACAATTATATGGGAATTGATAATGGAATCTAAATGAGTAGAAACACCAAACTCAATAGTCGTATATTAATAACCTTTGAAAGCATTTACTTTAATAAAATTGGATAAAGAAAGTTGAAAATTTTTATCTTTGATTTTACCAATAATACTCATAGTATTCTTAAATATATCTTCATGCTTAGCTTCATTTCTACTCCTCCAAGGAAACAAACAAATAAGAAAAGAAACAATGTTACGAATATTACCTTTAGATGGAGTAAGCAAGGTCTGTAAGATGATAGTAATGGAGCTATAATTATTACAAAATTTAACACTAAAAGTGTTATTAAAATATAACAAAATTTTCATAGTTGTAGCACCATTAGCATAAAACATAATTAAGGTTTTAAATTTTATTACTACACTAACATTTGGAAACAATATAAAAAACTTTTAAAAAAAATTCACAGTCAAATAATTACGAAAAAATCCTTCAAACTAAAATAGAGTAAAATGATGAGATAGCATTATCCGAAATAGTTGAGTAAAGTAAAGACTTATGTAAGGGTTGCATAATAGGGTTCCAAACTTATTTTAAAGAAAACTTACCATCATTAGTATTAGTAAACATCATGGAATCCTCTTTATCCAATTGAAAAGGAATTATAAGGATTAGACTAACAATAAAGTGTGGGATGTAATTCCAAAGTAAATAAACATCCAACACTCCACCAAAAATAAAATAAATCACTTTTCAAGCAAAGGTAGAACGTGTATTCAATAAACTATCAATAGAAATATTACCCAACCAATTATCTTGCCAAAAAAAGATGCTCCCATCCCCAAGACCCATTAAATAAATATTTTTTCCTCCCACTTGATGGAACAAAGACTTCTCCAATTAAAGGAATCATCTTATTTAAAGTGACAGATAACAGGGTGACAACCAACATAATATTTATTAGTCATGAATTTATCCCATAAAAATTTCTTGGATCTAAAAGAAAACAAGATTTTGTAGGAAAAACCAGTAGCCATGTCATCCATAGTCTTAAAACTAAGATTCCCTTCCTTAATAACACAAGAGGAATTAGCTCAAGAAGCAAAAATCATAGAAGAATTTATATCCTTAGAACTCTAAAAAAATTTATTAAAAAGCTTTTCCATTCTAGTATAAACATTCACCATAGGACATAAGGTGTGAAAAAGATAAATGGTTATAAAATATTGTACATGTTTAATTAAAACTAATCTACCAGCAAAAGAAAGAAAATTAAAAGCTCAAGTAGTAAGTTTATTATGAATAGTATTTAAAATGTCATCAAATATGTGTGACCTCTTCTTACCTCTATAAAGTGGAGTACCTAAATACTTCAGCGTTAAGATCTTATGAGAAAAGCCAAACTTATCATAAATCTCATTAATTCTTTGATTAGAGAAAAATTTGAAAGTAATGAAACAACTCTGGCTAGTATTAGACATAAGACCACTCTCTTTGAAATTTCTCAAGAAATTTAAAAATAATATAAAGAATTTTAATAGATTCGTTAGTGAAATTAATGAAATCATCAGCAAAGCTCAAGTGAGTAATAGGGAAACCACCAAGAGTTCTAAACTATAAATTGGGATGATTTAAAAAAAAGCTTGTTAGGGCCTCTAAAAAGAAATTTAGTTGTTATAATAAACAAAGCAGGAGATAAAGGATCCCCTTGTCTAAGCCCATAAGATGATTTTAAATAACCATGACACTTACTATTAATCATAACATAAAGATACAATTTTTAATGGTATTTTCAATAAGATTAATAAACCATGTATTAAACCAAAAAATCTTTAACATTTTGTAAAGGAGCTCCCAATTTAAATTAATAGAAGCTTTAGAGATATCAATCATTAAAATGCTATTCCCACCAAAAAATTTAACTTCCAAGTCATGCACTAACTTCTGGGCCAATAAAAGATTATCAAAAATATACCTACCATTAACAAAACTAGTTTGTTCCAAGAAAATAACTTTAGGTAATAAAATAGCAATTCATAAAATAAGTAATTTAGAAATAAGCTTATTGAAAAAAGAACACAAGTTAATAGGGCAAAAGTCATTCCATAAGTTAATAGCATCACTCTTAAAGAATAAAGTAATAGAGGTGGAAGTAAAAAAGTTAGGGTAGGGATTTCCAAAGAAAAAATCTTTAACAACAACCATGAGATGATCCTAAATGATGGACCAACAATTCTGAAAAATCTTAGTACTAAATGCGTCAGAGCTAGCAAGACAATCAGCATTCATACTTTTAAGAGTTAACCAATTTTCATTCTTAGTAGGCATCATCATCAAAAACCTATTGTCCTCCTCAATAATAAGAGAAGGAATAAAGAAGCATAAATCAAGTCAGGGGAATCAATAGAGACACCATTAGGAGTATTAATTTTATGTATATGACTAGTAACTTTCTTGTAGTTAGCAATATTATGAAAACATTTAGTGCTTATGTCTCCCTCAACCCGAAATTTAGAAGAAGCCTTCTATCTCCAAAAAAACCTTTTCTTTCTCTTGAGGTTTGAAAAAAAGTTACCTAAGCTTCATTGAGCAAAACAATATTCCTAGATGAGGGGTTTTTCATGTAGTTAATGTCTGCACTATTAACAAAATCCCTAGTATAAGAAATATTAGCAAGGATAATCTTAAAAACATAATTATTCCACAAGTTTAATTTTTGTTTAAGTCTTTTAATCTTGAATCAGAATCTAGTCATACCCCCCACATTATCAGAAGGG